AAAAATTATAAAATATTGAAATTAAAATAATAAAACTAAAAATAAACTACTAAAAAAACACAAAATATTTAATCTAACATATGTACATAGCTGCTTTCATTTCCAGTAAAAATCACTTATTTCAAGCTACCACATCTAAGCGCGTATTTATGATAACTACAGCACCAAATCTCGTATCAGTTTGGCAGAATAACTCAACGCGTCTTGAAATGCGTTAAATCGACATAAGCTACTTTAAGATATAACAACAYATTCTTATATTGCCTCAATCATTTTCTTTGTAAATTTTTGACAGATCTCATGTAGTTGAAAAATTATGCCAGTCGATGCGCGATTAATCGAAACTACTCAAAAATTGGCAAAAAAAAAGCTTTATTTTTGTTATCGMAACTACTCACAAAATTGCCGAGTCCCTCCTTAACATTTACTTTGCTTTCGTAAACATAATTTTTTTAGTTAAGCACATGCTTTGGAAATGTTTGATAACTCCAAAAAGTTTATATGAAAAGTAGTGAAATGTTCACGGCAAAAACGAGAAAGCTCAAAAATAAAATGTATCTGTAAGAAATGTAAACTATTAGTTATATCTGAGCCGACGGGATACATGAAATATTCAAAGCGCATTCGACATTTGCTTTGACATTTTTAGGTTTAATAGCTTTCAACATGACACAAAGTACCCTATCGAATTTTTTCCGTATTGAATACTTGTTGCTACTAAAATATGAATATTTACTATTTAGTTTTCAAAAGTACAAAACTATCAAAGCGCAAGCTCATGCCACTCAGCAACGCGTCGAACGCAAATACTTGAAGGGCGAGTTTCGACGGCAGCTTCCACACAAATGAAATTCAGCAATTATTTTTGTGTTAAACCTGATTATTTATTAACTTAATTTATACAGATTATTTGTATGTTTGTATTATTTCGTGTTTTTTTTTTTGTTCTTTTTTTTTGGTTTTTATTAAACATTCAATGTAACTAATGCCACATCAAGGCTTTAATCTCACTACAGAAATCTCAACATTTCGAAACACATCAAAATGTTTGTAGTTATTTGTTGTSGTTGCTTTTAATAACAAATTGAAACAAAATAGAGTGTAGAGCAAAAGCATAACATGACTTCAACGGTTAATTTCAATAATTTTTCTCTTTTTTTATTTTTATTACAGCTAAGTAAACAAAACAGTGCATAAACTAAAGTAAATTTGTAATATAAAATAATATTTTACAAAAATTCTTCTAATTGAATATGTAAAAACCATATTGAAAATGCGGACATTCTTCAGCAACACAAACRAGAAACGATTTCATTGGAGCATAAAATTGTTTTTTTTTTTGTTTTTGTTTTTTGAATATATTACCCGCAATATTTCTTTAAATAAAATTTGCAAATATTTTTTGCTATATTTGTTGCCGGTTACTTTCTTAATTGTTTAATATTTTTTTTTATTTTTTTTTTTTGTTTTTTGTTTATTACACAGTTATTGTTTAATTTCCCTTAGCATCATTGTATTCTGCATATTCCTTTGTTTATTCTCTTTATATTAAAACACTATAGTATCGTTTTTTCACTTTAACATTCAAGTCGCAATAAAAATATATGCATTTATACCTTCACGATAATATATGTATGTTAAATAGAACTAGCTCAGTTTCGCGCATCACGACTTTGCGGTTTTCATGCAACACACCCGCCCTAATGATTACTGTCGCCCCCGATATTGCCATTTTGCTGTTGGCGGACGGAGCGTCTTCGCGTCATAATACGTAGAGCAACACCGCCATTATTACCACCCGCATCCATGGCTGACTCGTCGATCGCCAGGCCACTGGTGTGCTCCTCATTTGCCATACCAACCACCGCATTGTCGACAATACTTARAGGATCCACTGGGGCAATGCCGGTATTAATGCCACCCAACATTTGTTGTTGTGCATTATTACTGCCAACACAATTTGCRGCGTCATAATCATTGATTTCATTYGATTGCACCGAAGTGCGGCGTAATTTGGACTTTTTGGGTGGCAACGTGCGTGGCGCGATTACATGCGTCGGCGTAGCAGGCGCAATAACGACGGCTGGACTATCATTCAGTTCACTGCAATCATAATTACGTTTACGCGAGGCGACTGTGCGTAGCATGGCGCCACCTGCCACAACAGGTGTGGCGTTAATGAAGGGATTCAAAGGATTGTTGCCATCAGCTTCCGGCATTTGTTTAGCTACCGCGATTGGCACATGTGATTGCTCCTCATTGCCATTGTAGAAGTCTTTTGGTGTGCCATARTTTCGCAGACAAGAATTCTCATCGATGGTCTCCAAAGGTCGAGTTGCAGCATATTTTAATTCGTTGGCATTGTTGAGCGTATTGAGCGTTGGCGGAAGAACACTGCTGCTGGCGTTGTTAATAGTTGCGGCGTTAGTATTGAAGGGTATGGCACAGGTTTCGGCAACATTTACTGTTATGTTGCARGGAGCAACAGCGCCATTATGGCCACTGTGCAGAGCAGGGGTATTGGCATCAGTAACTTCTGCATCTGTTACTTTAATAGTATTCTCATTGTCCAAAGTGCCAGTTTTCAATTGATAATTTTCCTTCTCCAAAATTAGTATGCGATCGCGGGTGGTCTTCAGTTCTTGCTGCAGGAATAAGATTGTACTTTGCATGCCTTCAACATCTTCGTCTAATTCGGGTAGAAAATCGTCGACCTCTATGGAAGGAAGGAGAAATGGATGCGTAGTAAAAAAAAAATAAAGAATTAAATAAAATATATTTTGTTATTTTGCAGCTTGCTTACCTGATTGTGACTTCTTTACTTCTTCGCAAAAGCTTTTTTGCATAGCCAATTCAGTCTCAAGTTTGGCCARGCGACCGTTGGAAGTCATTTTACCCAGTTCCTCATTTTCCTAGTGAAATGAAATTTGACAATTTATACAATATCTTTTTAAATGATAAAACTTGTCTTGCTTACTTGATATAACAAACGACATTTGGCAATCAAACGTTTGCCAGTATTAGAATCTGGTGTGAATTTCCAAGCGGACAATTCATTTTGAGTTTCCTCCAACTTTGCTTTGGTAGCTTTTAGCTCTTTCTTGAGCTTCTCAAAAAGCAAATTAACAGCAGGATCAAGCAAAGCCGCTCGCAGTGCCAAAGCTGTGGGTGCTTGTGCTGCTTTGTATTCGGCAATTTGGCTCTGCAATTAATTTCATAGGATAGAAAATTAATTTAAATGTAAAGAACGATAAATTTTCTTAGAACATACCACATAATCCTGAAATTCTTGCTCTTTATTGGCCAAGCGGCGCATGAGAATTTTTTCGCGCCGTTGTGCATCAACGCATTGCTGCGATAAGCGCGTCTGTTCCAACTTGAGATTTTCAATTTCATCTACATTAACGACGAATAAAATTGCATATTTAATTGAAGAATTTATGCATTATATAGTACAAGAGATTTAAATATGCAAATATTTGTTGTAAATATATAAACATAAGCTAATATATATGATAAAAAATTATTACATGTTTAAAAATATAACATAAATAGAATATACATACATAGATTATATGAACAAGTTATAATAAATAATTATGTACATTTTGTTTCTAAATTGAACTTAATACGAAATCATACCAATACTGGGTGCAACAAGGTGCGTTTGTGTGCAAATTGCCGCACATTTCGTGAATTTCGAGTTGGCATTTTTGTTTTCTGAGTGTGTTGACTCTGCGATTTGTTGCGTTACGTTACGTTGTTGTTGTGTATATTTTTTTGTCTTGGAGGACGGTCAGCTCAATGTTGAAGAGTGTGACAACAGATCATTCAGAGCAGTTCGTATCGTTATGTATATTACGACGCGAATGAAACGCCAATATTTTTTTACCAAAACATTATAGAAAAACTACAAAGCGAATTTTTTTCTAAATTATTTTTCGCAATACACAAACACAAGTAACGAACTTGAATGATATTTTTTCAATTTATTTTTCCCGCACAACCAGCACTGTAAATTATTTACAAACAGTTATTTTTTTGTGCCATGAAATAAATATTAAAAKATGTAATATATGCATTTGTATCMATAAACTTTTCTCTCAAATGCTTTYTGATTTTAGATTCAATCGATCAAAATGCCAACAACGCACATTTTTCGAGATAGACACAGGTATATTTTTTTGGATACAGCAATATTTTTTTAAAAACACAATTACATCGACAACTAACACTCTTTTCTGACATTTCCAGATAATACCGGTTTAACACTTTGTGAGGTATATATATATATAATGTTTATGCCAAATTACATTTTATTTCAATGATTACATATTACTTTCTGTTACGCTCAGAACATTTTCGATACGCTTATCTGTACGTAAACAGATTACATTTTTAAAACCCTGTTTATAATTTATTTTTCAAATTGATTTCAACAGCTTTCCGAACTACCACAAGCAAGAAACTTTWTATACCATATTTTCTTTTCCGCTTCCTTTGTTACTATATGTATATTTTTAGCCACTCGATTTTTAACACTCACATCCCTCCACAGCATGCATTGGAATACCAGGCTGTTTAATGGCTATTTATCAGTAATAACCATATTTGAATTTGCATATAWATTTTTATATATAATTTGTTTCAGGCTTATTAGCAACACCTTCATAATAACACCAAATTTTTATAGTTTTTCATTTTATAATTATTCATACTAGTATATTATATTTTTGTTGTAAGCTTTTTATGATTTCTGAATATTAAATGTATTATTTTGTTATAAAACAGCAGATAGAATTAGATGTATCAAGATAAGAAAAAATACACCAACGCCAACGAGGGTGTGGCAGGAACGAAAACAGACGAAAGGATATACAGCAGCATGAAACAGAACACACGACGTATAATATGATACCGACGACGATGTACCGAAATAGCGTTTACAATACAAAGTTGACCGCTTACATTTTTTTTCTTTTTATTTGTTGTTATTATCGTTGACTAAAGAATGAGTGGAGATAAAGACTTAAGAACATAATGATTATATGTAGAGAAAACTTATATTCTTTAATATGGCGATTTTAACACAATAAATTTATATTTATACATAATTACGAATGGCTTTTGTAATAGGCGTATTTTCATAGATTTATATCACTTTATTTTTATTTATATTGTCTCGAAATATTGTGTTTACAACACAAATTATAATAACAAATACACATATTTTTTCATGCACTTTAGTTCTTTTCTTCATTATTTACATTATTATTTTTATTTTCACAGTTTGTTTCGCACTACATATTTATTAAGCCTTTTAAAATCTCGATTATTTGCCAGAGTTCAAGAAGGACATACATATTCYTCTTTCTATCATATATACTATTACTTTAACATTACTTCACCTCACAATTTCACGCTTACAAACTATGATTTGTGCTAGAATAAAATGTTCTGAAAGAGTCAAAAAGAGTGTTCGCTGATCGATTAACAAATTGAGTTTCTAACAAGCAATCATTGCACACGCTCCACTTAGTACACTTCATCTATTCCAATATTAATGCATTACTGTCTTGCTAACTTGCATCGAGTATTGGTCTATTCAATATTCTTAATGTACATTTGTCGTAGAGAAAAATTTCAACAATTCAAAAATAAATCAAAGTAAGAGTACATTATTTACTAGTAAAAATATATAAAAAAAATGGTTTGAAAAATAAAACAAATTTCAACACACTCCGAGTATTTACTCCGAGTATTTAAGCATACGCTTATACTATTTGTTCATACTTGTCCTTTTGTCTTCAATGTATCTCTATTTTTTTTTTACAAAATTTTATTTTTTGTGTTCAATATATACCTTCGAGCAACCGCTGACGATGTTCGGCAGCAACAACGGCCTCAGCGACACTGCTTGGCTGTTGCTGCTGCTGTTGAAGTTGCTGCTGCTGTTGAGTCTGATGGTGTTGGCTATGATGGTGCACATGTTGTTGCTGTTGCAGAGTTGGCGGCGGCGATGGTGGCTGATGTTCCACATGTTGATGCATATGCCGCGAATGATGATGATGATGGTGGTGAGAATGGTGATGGTGTGAATGATGATATTGATGCGAAGGCTCTTCGCTACCGGATGGCGTTGGCGAGGCAGGCCCAGATGGTGGTGCACCGCCAGCACCTAAACCATTGCCGCCACCCCCTCCACCTAGTCCGGTATTACCATGCAAATTTTGTTCATATTGTTTAGACATTTTATCGTAACTGTTCATCAAAGGTCTTTGATCGTCCATAGTCATTGCAGCGACACTCATTACAGTACAGAGGGCAAATACCGTGCCACAAAACTATTTTATATAAGTTTTTAATTTTTCTTTAATTGAGGTTTTGCTCTAAAGCGGAAGTTAGTTTTGTTGTACACCGCACCTCCAATATGATTGCTTTCTAAAAACTAACACGCCACGCAGCAGCACGTATGCCTTGTGCGTTTGTTTGGCTTTTTTTTCACGAGTTGCTTCTCTCGCTTCTTCTTTTTCCCCTTCTCCAACACTTATTTCTTTCTTTCCTCTGTGCTACTTTTCTRTGCTCATATAACTTTTTAATTACCTATTGCTTCTTCTTCAACTTTTGTGAAATATATATACATTTATGCATGGAAACTTTCAACTAGCGCTCCGCTGACAACTTTTCACTTCCAATATTTGCGCACTTTCCAACTTTTCAGCTACTTACTTTTATCACTRTCGTATTAAATGTGTATTCAACTATATTTTTTCAATATTTTTGTAAGAAAATTTGCACTTTTTCCACAATAAATATTAACTTTTCTACACAGCGAAATCTCGACGCGTCACAATTTTAATTTATGAAAATTCAATATGGTCGTCTTTCACCTTGTGCTCACGGACATGAAAGGGACAGATGTATAAGATTCTTCGTAAAAAATGGCGAATATATAAAAGGCATAGCAGGGTTGCATCGGTAATGAAAAAATATATTTAAAGAACGTGGCRTAAGCACATAATGAACACTTACGTCTTCGTATGTTTTCAAATGGATATTAATTTATTAGCACTATATCAACCAATATTAAATATTTTTATATATGTATATAAAATACTGAAAACATGAATTCATTTCTTATATAAAATAGCATGGGTAATTCTAAGTTTTTAGAAAATGATGAATAAAAAAAATAATCTAGATGATAACCCCACAAAAAACCAACACATGATCTCTTGATAGAATTTGTTTTGCTAATTTTTGAGAAATGTCAAACACCGCCACTTTATTCGATAAACAGTCACATTGTTTACATTACTAACTTCAAGCAGGACAATGAGTGATAAAAAAGTACAAATAAACAAACGCGGAAAGGGTCGTGTAAACCATGAAGAAATACTTCTATGGAGCAAAGAGGAGCTTATAGCCAAGGTTTTACAATTAGATGCWTATAACTTCCAGATAAGAAATTTGTTACAAAAAAAGTTGGGACAAAATGACAGTGAATTTTATGAAGAACTCGCTAGCCTGGACGCTAACGACAATACAGAAAARGCTCAACAAACTAAGTCACAACCAATACAAAAGCCACAAAAACGTAAATTCGACTTTAAAAAGTAATATTAAAATAAAAATGTCGTATCTGTTCATAKAACTATATAATTTGTTAATTGTTCACAGAAGCCACAAGCGGCACGTGCTGATGAAATTGCTTTATTTCGGTTGGGACTACCACGGCTTGGCAACTCAAGAAGATTCAAATGCTACAATAGGTACAAAGTAATCCATAATCCTTAAAACTTATTTTATTTATGATTAACATATTATTTTAGAACACCACCTATTTCAAGCGTTAATCCGCACCTGCTTGATACAGTCTCGCGAAACGGCCAATTACCACCGTTGTGGACGCACTGACAAAGAAGTAAGCGCCTTCTGCCAAGTTATATCAATAGATTTACGCAGCAAATTTCCATCGGAACAACAACTTTTRACTGAATCATTAACTAATGAAATTGATTATTGTGCATTATTAAACCGTGTCCTTCCCCGCAACATACAAGCGGTGGCATGGATGCCGCTYCGCAGTCCAGTGTACAGCGCTCGTTTCGATTGTGTAGAGCGCACATACCGTTATTATTTTCCAAAAGGCGATTTAAGTATAGAGGCTATGCAAAAGGGCTGTGAATTGCTAGCAAGACATACAGACTTCCGAAATTTCTGTAAAATGGATGTTAACAATGGCGTGACAAATTACATAAGGCAAGTTTTTAAAGCTACGGTACAAAGGTGCGAGGTGGAACAATGCGAAAAAAATTCTTTGGACGGTTAGATCAATGAAATTATAGTTAAAAAAAAAGTAAATTAATTGCTTAATRTTTTGTGCAGGATATGCCATGTATATGTTAGAAATCAGAGCTAATGCTTTCCTTTGGCATCAAATTCGCTGTATTATGGCGGTTTTACTGCTCATAGGTGAGGGTAAAGAGCAGCCGGAAGTAATAAGTGAATTGCTGGATGTAGCCAAAAATCCATGGTTAGTATTTATTAGTTTTCCAATAAAACTTTACAATATTTTTCGTAATTGTGTCGTCAGCAAACCGCAATACACACCGGCTATCGGTTTGCCATTAAATCTCTTTCACTGTGAATTCCGCAAGCATACCATACAACCCACTGATAATGCTATAAATAATGGGATTTCAGCAAATTCAGAAGATGGAGAGGCACATACAACTGCTTGGATATACGGGGAGGAGCACCTACAAAAACTCATYGAGAATGTGCAAGGTGAATGGATGCAACACAATATCAAGTTAGTGTCATTAAAATTTTCTAATTTCAATTTGCGATACAAATTAAATATTATCTTATTATAGAAGTACCATGATACGCGATGTGTTGCACCAATTAGWAAGCACATATCAAAAAGAATATCAGTCTGCCCCAGTGCAAGCGCAGGCTTGGTTGTTGCAAGACGGGGTTCGTCCACGTCAATATCAGCAACTTTTAAACCGCAAACGTTGTGGTACGTACATACAATACATATGGTTCTTAAATTGTTTATTTACTATATTACTTATTATCCAAAATTGTTACTTTTTACAGAGAGTTTGGAAAATCGCATTGAACACTTCGTTAAAAAACAGCGTTTGATTATTACCAACGATCCAGTAGCGCAAAGCAACTTAGTAACGAACACGAYGGCTGAAACGTAACACACACATACACATTTAAAATCTAATTACAATGCATATTTATGTATATTGAAGTAAAAAAAAAATAATTTAATTTATTTGTTTGTTAGTGGGTAATCATATGTTAGCCTTATACAATTTCTACGCGCCGCATATGCGGTATATTGTACTGTCATCTTTAATAAGTATTTGAAAGTTAGGAGAGAATGAATGCACTATTTCTATATTTCAGAAAATAAACGCTTATCTTATAAAACATTAACTCTTATGCATAAATACACACACATGAGAATTATAAAAGAAAAAACGTCTACTTCGGTTGCACCGAAACCATAATACCCGTCACAAACAAAAAGTTTTCATACAATAACTAGAATTTAAYCGRCCATTTTGTATGGTMACTATATGCTTGTCCGATCTGGCGAAGATTGTAAGGTTCMTTGCCGCAATAATCCCGGTAAAATTTTCTGCAAATATCTTGTCAAATAAAAAAGATTTTCCATACAAAGACCGGAATGATCGATCAGCTATATACGAGGTGTGTTCAAAAAGTATGGAGAATTTTGAATTTTCGCGGATTACGTATATTCGAATTTCGAATTTTTTGTGGCGTTATGTTGGTACCCATGTTTCTACTTATGCCGACAAGCTCGGCCATTTTGAATGTTCATTTAATTGTTGACAACTGCTTTGCTTGCCCGTGTTTTGGATCGTCTTCGATTTTTACCTATTCAAAAAAATGGATCAAAGAACCTGTATCAAATTTTGTATGAAAAACGAAATTAAGTGCGCGGATGCATTCCGAATGTTGACTGTGGCATACGGAGAAGCTACCTTGGACCGAAGCAACGTTTATCGGTGGTACAAAATGTTCTCAGAAAGCCGAGAAGATGTGACAAAAATTGGCTTTTGCACCACGCTAACGCCCCTGCTCACACATCGTTGCTTGTGCGCGACTTTTTGGCCAAAAACAACACACTAATGATGCCGCAGCCACYGTATTCCCCAGATCTGGCCCCCTGTGACTTTTTCTAGTTCCCTAAACTGAAGAGGCCCATGATAGGACGACGTTACGCTTCGCTTGACGAGACGGCATCGAAGGAGGAGCTGAAGAAGATAAAAAAGAATGATTGTTTGAAGTGCTTCGAAGATTGGAAAAACCATTTGTATAATATCTCATGGGGATTACTTTGAAGGGGACAAAATAGATATTCGTGAATAAATAAATAATTTTTGAAAAAACACAAAATTCGCGATACTTTTTGAACACACCTCGTACATACGTTGTATAGCTGCCATTTTCGATTTCGACAACTGAGCAACTTTTTGGGGAGAAAAGAACGTTCAGATCGATGTCTTAGAAACTGAATCCACTGAGCTCATGACGTTGATTGTTCATATATATGGCCTCCAAAGATTCCTTCTGGGTATTAGCTAGGAAAATAAATAATTGAGGAATGCACCGCGATCTTAGGTCTATTGTGCCCTCTCCTAACTCACAGGGACTCACTTAGCCCCAGCATGTGGATAAAGTCCACTATCCTGCTGGGTGCTAGTGAGGCGATGTSACCCTATCCGGAAACATGGACCCAAGAGCYTTCAACCTGCGTCTGCAGACTGCTATGCAKTCGATTAGCAGGTGTACCGGGGTTTCAGGCTCCCTGTCGCAAAACCGGCAGTTAGCGCAAGAGGATAGGCCCATGTTAAATAAATGTCTATTCAATTTGCAGTGGCCGCTGTAAAATGACACCAGTAGCCTGAGTTTATCCCTTGGGAGAATGATTATCGATTTAAACCTGTTCTGGTTGTACCCCCAATGAGCAACTTGGCATGTCGCATACCATGCACTCGTTGACAATGCCTTTCCCTGCCCACTCCTTCTTCCTTGCGGAGCAGCTCCTTTAAGGTATGGAGGCTCACCCCGGTGAATGGTTCGGGCCCTACCATATTACAAACTTCTCAACAAACTTATATCCCGGTCATGGTATAAAAAGCATGCCAATAAATAGTTTAGCCATATATAAATCACAATCCACACAATTAGATTTATCTTATCTGCATTTATTTAATACAATAATCCGATTACTCGCAACAAAAGTATCGCGAGATGATAACGACAGCATTTTTGTAAAACTCTAACAAATATTTGAATTTATGCATATTTGCATTGCTATCCAATAACTAAAAATGAAGTTGTAATGACGCGATAACTGATCAATTTAGTAATAGCGCTACTGACTTGCGCGCTTCACTGCTAACMGTCAATACTTTTTATAGCTTTTAATACAGTGCATACAACATTCTGCTATTAATACAGCAGCTGATAAATCGATTTGAATTCGAATACTTAACACCTTGTTCAGTTGAGTTTTTGCGCTTCTATCGCGTGGTCGATTTTTTGCAATTTCCGCCAATGTTTAAGTTGTGCGTATTGGAGAAATCAAAATTTTGCATTTCTTAGCAGAACAGCAACAACARCAAAAACTAGTGTATGCATTGAGCACCAAGTACATAATTTAGAAATTTATTTAAAAAAGTGTGACACCTAATTTGTTACAAAGCTGACTTCTTGTGTCACGACAGAGCAACGCAACAAAATGCACTCAAGCGGTGGCGTGTTGTCCCTGTGTTCGGGTTATTTTGCAAATATTTTGTTGTTGATAGTGCTGCTGTGCAGCTACACAG